AAACCAGTGTTAATGATTAACTCGTTCCAGGCGTCGACCACCCATCCAATTACATATAATAGGTTAATTTTTTTAAAGTTCTGAATAAGACCTTGGCCACCATCATTTGCAGAAAGAAAAGAGGATTACAGCTTGGGCCTATATCTTTTCCAAAACTCCTTGGTCCATTGGCTGGCATAACTCTGTGATATTAGATGGTTAAAAACATTGCTCATATGTCCCCATCTTTTAACTCTTGGCAAGTTTTTAGATTTTAAAAGCTGCTCAACTGATGGAACGGATACTTCATGGAACCATTTTTTGAAAACTGCACACCTCATCCATTCATTTGACTAGTTGGACCAAATGGGCCAAACGGAAGTTTTGACCAAACGGAAAGTTTATCTGTTTCAATGTGCTTAAACGCATGTGGTTTCTTTGATTTTCCTATGACACCAAGTTTGAATATGTGGTCACCTGTTACATTACTTCATGTTAAGATTGTTACCCTCTTCTTGCCCCTTTTAAAGCCAGGGCTGACAGTTCTTCCTTGAAAGCAAGCCTCTTTGCTGATAACAATTTATAATTTAACCCTGTGTCATCACAACTGTACAAATTGCTCTACGGTCAAACCTTCAACTTAAATAAATTTCTGAAAGTTTTCCTTAAATTGAAGCATACCCTTTGTGTCCCCAGATTAGTTTTTCAACAAATGCTAAGCTGTTGCGCACTCTAGTTTTTCAACAAATACTAAGCTGTTGTGCACACTAGTTTTTCAACAAATACTAAGCTGTTGCGCACTCCATATCGTTTCATCCAGCGATCAAACCAGCCAGTGCTTGCGACAAATTTAGGATCGTCGTCTTTTTTTAATTCTTCACAAAATGTCAAGGTCTTCTGTTGCAAGATTGGGCCCACTAATCGACATGCTCTTCTTGTTTGGCAAAACCTAATGTAAAGCGCCTCATTAAACTCACTTTCTTTCAATGTTTCTGTACACATTCTTTTAACACCACGATTCAATTTCCATCCACTTCTTCCAGTCTCCAATTGTACTTTTGCCGACTCCTTAGTTCTTAGCACTATTTCTCTCTTATCCAGTCCCTTTAATGTCCCCAACTTTTGTTCCATTGACAAGTTTACTTGTTTTCTTTTAATGGAAGATGTCATCTCAGAGTACTGTCCAGCATCCACAGAGTTTGAAACAGCTTTCAACAATACAGTACAGTCACCCACATCAAATTGTACAACGCAGCTAAGAAATTGACTAACCCTGGCAGAGGCTGCAGGTAGACTGAACAGCTGAATGCGCCCCGGCGGCAGTAACATGATGGAGGAGTGGGAATGTGACGTGAGACAAAGGATTGCAGGAAGAAGGGGACACATTCATGTGGGCAATGACCTTAAATGGGTCTCTGCGCAGGGTTTTTTTCGACTTGCCAGTGGTGCCAAGTTATCTGGACTGACTGACGGGTTATTCAGTATCGAGTTTTCAGAACTCTACTGTACCTCCTTAAAGCAGCAGCTTTTTCCTTAACAGCCTCATAGATAAAATGCATGTCAGTGAGCCTTACATTCATCTAGTGATACATAATTTCTTGAAATTACATTGAGAATGAAGATTTACACTAGAAGAATGCTTTATTTATCACTCGACAGCATCTTGTACCACCTCAGTGTGCCTTTTCTATGCATGCATTCCATTACAAAATCTGCTTTTTTCTGTCCCCTCTACCTGCCTTTACCTTTTTGTCAAATATTTTGGAATAACTCTGTGGATATTTAACCTTTTCAGAAGCAGTTTATAAAATAATTTAAATTGTGGTTGAATTTTGCATGAATTGTAACATGAACCTGAAGACTATAAAATTGATGCTTTTAAAGAATCAGAAGTGAAATTTTAAATTTTGAATTTTGAGAACCTGTGCTTATTTTATAACACTGCCTCTGTAAGACATTTTTTCCACGTAGCTGCTTATTATTAAATTTTTTATTTTTGAAATCTATTTTTGTGTACTTTAAATGCATATCTGTAAAAATAGATGCTTGAATGCAATTCCTTAAGTTTGAAGTAAGAAATTTCTAAAATTTCTTTAGAAATTTAAAATTTTAGAAAAAATTGTTATATTTTTAGCCGCTGATAATGCCACACACTTGAACATACTTATGTAAAGTATGTGAAAAATGCTCTTGAAAGTAATTCAAATTCCATATTAAGAGTCTATAAAAATTTAATAAATATAACACTTCAAGCACAAACCATATCATGCTATAATAGCATAATATTGAAGAAATGCAACAGCTAAAAGAATGACAGTTTATTACATTTATGCTTTAGATAATTTATAAAAAGAGTATGCCTCTTGCTATGATCCCAGTTCTCAGGACTCGCCACCCACTTACATTTTCGATTATCAAGCCTTACGAGGGCCCCTTTGTAATTTTTTGTAAGTGTAGGATATAGCATATTTTGTTAAGGTCATTAAACGATCAAATGTTATAAAGTCGTTAAACAGTTTTATATCTGATACATCTTGAAACAACTTTTCCAGTTTTTAGTCCCTTTTGGGCCTCTTTTAAATTTTTCTATAAATATGATAGTATAAGTAACATTTTATTCAGGAAGATTACCTCTTTACTAGAGGTAATATATTGACACACCTCAAAGCCCTTTTTTCTATCATAAGGCCCGTGGACCTTGTAAAAGCCCCTTTCATAAGCAACTGCAATATAAATAACCACTTAATTATGCACAAAATAGAGAAGAAAGACAAGCTCGGTGGCAAATAATGGCATGCCGCACGCATATGGGCAGTGGTGTATTTTATATGTTTTTTTAATGAATTGTTAAACGGTCTACTTTAAATCATCAATTTTAATTGAAATGATATAAATATATAAAATTAAGCCTGTGAGTCCTACATTTGTAGATTTTGAAATTTTTCTTTCCCTCCAATACAGTTTATTAATCTTGAAACATGAGATATGTTAATTTAATAGCTGCACAATATTGAGCGTTGATAATGTAGTTCCGCCATCTAATATTGATAAAAAAACACTAGAAACTCAAGATTTTTAGTAAAAAAATTATAATATTTTAGGGAATTAAAGAATTAACAAATATTCAATGTATTTAATGTCCCAGTGCTCTTTAAAGGGTTTGCAAACATCATATTCGTGTGCTTTGAAAAGTGTTCTGTCTCAGTTTCTCTCATACTGCTTTGTTCTTATCCCTAAATGTGGTAGAAGTTCTTTTGTTTACATTTATTTTTATTATTATTTTAATATTCCATGAATTTTTCATGCATGTATTAATTCATTTATAATGTTGTACAGGTTTGTATATATTCAAAGTTAGGTCTGTAATCTAAGCTTTCATGCAAAATCCAATTATTTTTTTTTTTAGCAGAGAAAGAGTTTACAGATGCTCTTTATAATAAAATTTGACCAAATATAAAATTTTCCACCAAATTGAATTGTCTTTTGACATACTGTCTACCATTAAAAGACGCGTTGGTGGCTGATTGTTAAACTATGAATGGCTGATAGTCTTGTCCTGTGTTTATTTTCTTATAGCTGAACCGGCTTTGGAAACAGGATATTTCATGGCTTTCCCCACTGATTATAATACATATTTATCAGTTTCTTTTATCTTCTATGATGGCATATCCTCCATTTGTGGCAGCGAACTCTCATGTGTTAATCCTTGAACCTTTTTTTAATTAGTTAAAGAGGAATTTATATATAAAGCCTTCTTAAGGTGCATACTGCAGGATATTTTTTTTTAAACATCGAGATCTGTTAGGAACTTTGGAGTGATCTGCATAGATATCAAATGGAGTAATCCACATATACAGTAGAACCATAACTGAGTTCTCAGGTAGTAATTCATATGGCATTGATCTTAAAAAACATTAATTGATGAAAGCATTCATTTTGCCTTTCTCTTCTCACATTAATAAACATTTTCTTTTCATTTCTTTGTTTTCCCATTTAAAAATAATTAAAACAGTTCCCTAGAAAGGATTAAGGGAGCATTTGACTACAAGAAAAGACATAACTATTCTAAAGGCTATTTCATACTCGGCATCTTTTTGAAACAGCTCACTGCTGTGAGAAATTAAGCATGACAATTTACACATAGACTGTTATCAGACAGTTTTGTTTTTGCTTTTGTTTCCAGTTATTAGTCTGTCCTATGCCTCAAATTCCTATGATCTTTTACCTATCATGGATTTTAATGAATGGAGTTAAATGTATGTCATCACTACAAGCAACTCCCTGGGTGAAGGAGTAAAGTAATGATTCCAACCAGTACTTCCTATGTTAGCACCAGAGATGCACATACCAATTGTGATGTTGCCTTTAGAATTCTTGCTTACGCTACATGTCTAGTCAAAAGTCAAACAAGCTAGGAGAAAGCATGATTCGGTAAAGAAAACTGACCCTTTTTTCTTTCTTTTCTTTTTTTTTTCTTTTTTTTTTTTTTACACTGATTATAGATGGCATTATAAGCATCAATTTGCATATGCACAACATAGCATATAATTTTAGTCCAGTACTCTTCATGTTAATTGACTGCTTTCATGGTATTTCAGTTTGAAAGCCAGCAATATATAACTTATGTTACTCTCTGGAAAAAAGATGCAGACATTGAAAGAATATATTGTTTTTGGCAGAATGTATGTGGAGCATTGTTATTTTTGTGGTTTACTGTGTATAACTGTAAAATGTTAATGAGATTTCCTTAGCACTTTCAGAATCAGTTAGGCATTTCTGCTGTAACATCAAAAGTTTTCCCTTTTAAATATGAATTTATATTCGAATATTTGTTTAAGAACTTTCATTAGCACTTGTAGGTCAGATCTGAGAAAGTGACTTGCAATTTTGATGGATTATATAAGTTTGTAGCTTTTACCTTAATATTAAGTCATGATTATGATATCTTCACTATTTATTGATTCATATGAAATGTGTGTTATGCAGCAATGTGCTAAAATTTCTTAACTTTTATTTTAAAGAATCTAATTGAAGAATTGGCTGCCTCAGATTCTGTCAATGCTTCTTTGGAATGTCAGATTGCTGAACTAGAAAATGAAATGAATAATTTATTAACACTGCGAGGTAATATTTATCTTCTACTTGTAGTTTTTCATGCACATTATTTCTTTTATTTCAAAGTTATGATTTTGTTTTGCAAATATCATTGTTACATAGCTGTGGGCAGAGATTTTGAAAGTAGTAAGTTCGGTGCAAATTGTTGTCTGAGCATTCTGTCAATTTTCTTCCCTGTTCTAGATGAAAGACTTCTTCTCTATCAACATTTTTTAGAATTTTCATCAGTGTTTAAATAAAATACTCGGATAAAAAATTAGTTATAAATATAGAGACACTGGGAACTGAAATGAATGAAATTTACATAATTACTTTAAGTTTGTTATAAAGTAATAAAAGGGAAGTAATTCTTGTTTTATTTGCATTTTGTTAACCATATTTTCACTAAAAATTGTCTTTATGGTTTGTGAATTTTGTACTGACTTTTTATCCATGTCCGGAGAGTCAAAATGCTGCAGTTTCGATATTAAGCTATCTTTTTCAAATCACGCAGAAAAGCTTTAAAGTATACTTTTCACTGGTAAAAAACAAAGTCTTTTTTGCAGGAAGAAGCAGGTGTAGGGAAAAGTTATTTTTTTGGAGAAACCGTAATTTCATCACTTAGAAATGTTAATATTTTGGTCCATGTTTTTGCATATAAATATTTTTAAATTTAACATCTAGGAAAAGTTTCTTAAATTAGTTATTTGATGTAAAAAGGGGAATGATAGATTTCTAATTTTTTTAGACATAAGATAATTATTTGGGTATGCAACAATTAAAATGTACAAATATACATTACATAAAAGGCAGTTTAATGTGAATTCTTGTTAATTCAAAATAAAAAAAAATTCCACACTTTTGTTGTTAATTTGTAAAAAAGCCCCAAAAGTTGTAATTAAGAAGTTATGTTAATAAATTTGACTTCATATTACTTCTCCTTTAACTTCAGACTGTTTGAACAAGGTTTGCATATGTTGAACTGTTTTTGCTTTGTCAGTTTTTGATTATTTAAAACATGACTGTTGTCTAATTTTCATCAGTAACCATCTGTGCATGCCTTGTGCTTTGATAAGCGCCTAGTAATGTCTGGTCCATTGTCTGCAGCTCCCTGGTATTAAAATCATTCAGTGTAGTAAAGCAAAAGTTTGTGCAGCTTGTTACCTGAGATAGTGTAGATTTTACAGTTTGGCAGAGTTTGGGGCTAAAACAATATATAAATGAAAAGTAATTTAATCTAAAAGCACATTAATTGCCTTTGAAAGCAATTTCTCTGACTTTTTTTTTGTGAAATATGTGTGTATACATATATACATATTATTTTATTTTATATAAAAGAAAAATAATGATAGAAAATGTGCAAAAAAATCTTTTTTACAAATATTCTAAAAATATCTGTTTATAGTAGTTTGTTTTAAAACTTAATGGTTGTTCTACTGTGGATGCCTATTTGGAGTTGTTATGTTCTGATTAGCTGAACCTTTGGTTTCACAGTTACTTGCAGGAAAATTGTGAGGTTTTCAAAATGTTTTTATTATGATTATATGAAAAAAGTACTTTTAGTTTTGATCACAATAATAGTTAAAACTATCTGCTATAATCTTGTATAGAGTTCAGTGAAATTGTGTGGTTTCTAGCAAAATATTTATTTGTTAACTTTATAAAACCAAATGTGGTAGCTTGTTTCAATAATGAACAAGGAAATTTATCATCACCAATCAGAAAATCATTGAATAGAGTAAAATATCCGAGTTTGATATATATTTGAGTTCTGTTAAGTGAATAATTCCGTAGAACCACTTTGGGGTTTACAGTAATTTCTGCTCTTGGCTGGATCATGCATCATTTTGTGCTGCATTAACACTGAAACATAGCTTCATATTGTGCTCATTTAAATAAGTCTTTCAATATGAATGATTCCATTTCTTTCAAAGAATTTAATGGCAGAACCTTCATGATTTGGTAGTTGCTAACCCTTAAAATCTATTTTAGTTCCTCTGCCCACATTTCACATTTCACATGCACACACACACACACACACACAGAAAAAAAAAAAAAAAAAAAAAAAAAGAAAAAGAGAGAGAGAGAGAGTCTGGATCAAAACATAATAAGTCACAATGTTCGGACATTAGCAGCTGTTGTGGATTAAGGTTGTTGTCATTTGTACACTTGTGCTCATTTTGACTGCTGTTGTTTTAATAGAAGAAAAGCAAAAATCTAACTGTTGTGAACTTATTTAGTTAAAGTAACACAGGGTTAATCTTCAGTTAGCAATTTAGTGACTTTTGGAAAATATTTACTTGGCACTATTCATAGAACAGACAATCAGTTGAAATGGTATTTTGCTTCATTAGTGAATGAGAATGTGGAAGTTTAATGGTGAGGCAGAAGACAAATTTATAAAAGTAAACCTTCATAATCATAACCAATCACAACTCTTTGATGAAAAGCAAACTGCTGCATTTCTCTGCATACTCTGCAATATCTAATGGAACACATAAAGTAAAATTGCAACTCAGTTCTGCAAAACAAAAATTTTGCATGTTGTTTCCATGCCAACACCGAAGAGTATCTCCCTGTAGAAAGACTGAACAATACAACAAACATAATTAAAATTATACACTAGTAACTGTGGTGGTAGAAGTTACAGAAATAAAACACATGACATTAAATTGCATAATAAAAATATTGAATGAACAAGAATGTATACAGCTTATATTTAGTAAGTGGTAGACATATGTTGAGGGAATCTGACATGTCATTTCAATTTTGTAACAGTTGTAGGAATAGTTAACATGGTATTCTTCAATGTCTCCATCTTACTGCATGGTGTTAGTACTGTGCAGTTTTATCACATATAAAATGCAGGTTTGAGTTGATCAACAGAAACAGTTAGATTCTTATTGTGCACATAAGATGATAAAAGTTTTGTCATGTCACTCAATGACGGGATGAGGACCTGCGTATGGTTGTTGAAGACCAGGCTGGATAGAGTCATTTCTCAGGTATGCGTGAGAACACAATTTCAAAGGTGGATGAATGTGGACAGGTTTTGATGTTGCAATGGGATTCAGAGATTTCATTATAGATCATAAATGATTAACATTTGTTGGTGTCAGGGATGGTAGAGTAAGCTGATCTGAGCTCAAGATATTTCAAGGCAACCTTAAATTAGTATTGTATGCTAGCTCAGGACAAGTTGCTTGAATGTCGTCTCTGATAAAAGATCGAATACCCGAAAGTATAAGATGTAATAGTTCTGTCCAGCAAGCGTTTTCTCGCACTTTTGTTTCTTTTTCAGCTGGGGATGGAACAATTCAATGATTCCATTTACGTGAATTCTATATTCAGTGGCATGAAAACAATGAATGCCCAACGGGTTCGCCCTGAAAAGATGCAACTCAATGTTTCAAACCTTGTCGGTGGGGATAGTAGAAGGCCATCCAAATTGAGCTGTCCATCCACTAATTAAAGCTTCATAAGTTGTGTCACTTGACATATGAGACTTGGGAATAACTTCAGGCCATCGTGTGATGGGATCAATTATGGTCAATCAATACTGATAACCTTAAGAAATTAGTAATGGCCCAAATATCAATGGCACTATGAAAAAATGTGGCATCAGGAAGTAAAAACGTTGCAATGGGTGATTTCGAATGCCTATGTATCTTTGAGCATTGATATTTCTCTTAAGCTTTCAGAGTTCTTGATAAAAGTATACATGGTAGTCAAATGTAATATTTGCATATCAATTTTGAAGTTTCAGATGTACCTATATGTGAAAGGATTTGAAAAATTTGGAAGATGATAGGTCTATATGAAAAGGGAATGAAACAAGGAACATTAGTTGTGGAGTCATAGTAGAGATAAATAGCTTCAAGAAGTAAATACTGTTAAGATATCCTCAGTGGTTTGGAATTGTAATTGTCTGTAAGTTGTGCTAAAGCTAACTGTTTGAAATCTAGAATAGGTGAGCGAGAAATAGAATCTACTTCTATTCGGGAGAGTGTGTCTGCAGTAACAATTTTCTGTACTGTTATCGCATTGTATGTCAGCAGAAAACTGAGAGATGTAATCTAGGTATATCGTCAGTGAAAGCGAGTGAAGTAACGTGGGGAAAAAAAGTGAATTTAAGAGGCTTTTGGTTGGTAAATACAAAGAAGTTGCAACCTTCTAATGTGTACCAAAAATTCCTGATAGATTCATATATTTCCAAAAGTTAGTGGTAATATGTAGCTCATTTCCATTGACTCTTACTCAGTTATAAAGGAAGAAATGCTTTTGGCTCCTATTGACCATTTTGGAGTTGTATGAGAGTGCTGCCAATAGCAGGGTCAGTTGATCATTCCAAAAACTGAGCTGAGAACCTGGTATTGAATGTTATCAGAGCTTTGATAGAGCTTCTTTAGCTGCTAAAAATACGTTATCAACTTCTTGACATAACTGGAAAGGATTTCAGTCATTTTAATGGGCAGAATCTTTTTTTTTTTTTTTTTTTTTGTTTAGTACTATAGAGATATTAGGTATTTTTTGGAAGCAGGCAAGATGAAAAATGAGCAATAGGCTTCGCCGGGAATCGAACCGCGGACCTCTGGAATACCGGCCCAGTGTGCAGAAAAACTACACCATGAAGGCATGCCAAGAAGGTGGGAGAAATACCTTTAAAAGGCGACTCCTTTTAAAGGGCGACTGAGGTTTTTAGGGGACCCAATTGCCAAATCCAGGGTGAGAAGCATCATCATCCAATACCCTTTTAGTTTGGGCACTACTATAGAGACATTAGGCTAATTGGAAGCAGGCAAGATGAAAAATGAGCACTCGTTTTCGCCGGGAATCGAACTGCGGACCTCTAGAATATCGGCCCAGTGTGCAGAACCACTACACCATGAAGGCATGCCAAGAAGGTAGGAGAAATATCGTTGAGAAACTTAATGAAGGGGACAAAGTATATCCTGCATGCATTGGCATAACTAGAACTCTTTGGTCCCTATGTAAAAAAAATTTTCGGCCCCCCAATAAATTTACAATAC